TCCAGCAGTACTCGAAGGTTATTGTGATGCAAATTGGATATCGGATACTAAAGATTCAAAATCCACAAGTGGATATGTCTTTACTCTGGGAGGCGCTGTTGTTTCTTGAAAATTCACGAAACAAACATGCATTGCTCGATCCAAACATGGAATCCGAGTTCATTGCTTTAGACAAAGCAGGAGAAAAAGCATAATGGCTTCGTCATTTCTTAGAAAACATTCCAATGTGGCCAAAACCTGTGTCAGTTATTTGCATTCATTGTGATAGTCAATTTGCAATAGGCAAGGCACATAATCATATGTATAACGGTAAGTCACGACATATTCGTCGTCGACATAATACCGTAAGGCAATTGTTGTCAAATGACATAATCTCAATAGATTATATAAAATCTAAAGAGAATATTGTGGATCCGTTAACAAAAGGTTTGACAAAAAAACTAGTGTATAGTTCATCGAAGGGGATGGGATTAAAGCCTATTACATAAGAGTCATCATAATGGTAACCCTACTTATATGACTGGAGATCCCAAAAACTAAGTTCAAAGGGACAACTAAGTTATGTGTGGCTCACCAGAAATCACCAAAGGATTTAAAATTTATTACCCATTCCTATGGTAAGAGTGATATCTGCAACATATGTTATATGTAGGGGTTTAAGGATAAACTTTACTTTTAATGATTACTTATATCTTGATTTAGGTATAAAAATCAAGACAAGTATAAAGAGATACTTATAATAAGAATCACCTATATGAGTGTAACTGGGGCTGGTTTTATGAGAATAAAAAAGGCTAAATTCTCTAGAAACACTCATGAAAAGCAGGAGCGTTCAAGGCCAAAATAAACACAACAGTGAGAACCACGATGTATTAGAAGATATTTTGTGTGAAATCTATTGTCTTGGTTTACATAAACGGCTGAACAATTCAAGGCATCGCGTCCATTGGTTAGCTAGTAAGTCCGATAGGTTATCACTAGGGAAGGTTCAAGGCCGAAAGCTACCTATCATGATGCAAGATATTTTCGACTGATACTCTTTCGATAAAGTCTGCATATTGTTGTATTTCCGTTGTCATCAAATTCCATTCATGTGGGGGATTGTTGGAAATGGTTGGAAAATTTTGGGTAAAATTAGAATTTTTTCCTAACTTTGATCTATTATTTAGGTGGGACTCAAGCGTCAAATTTGGCAGGTCAAAGTGGTAACGCGTTCTATGCCGCGTTGTGATTCACGTGGTATATTTGGTTACTCAAAACCATTATCGAGTGAATGGGAAGTTAAAGCCAAAGTGAGCTCCATGGAAATGGAGTTTTGGTGGAAATTTCTTAAGGTTGGAAAATGGCTTGTCCCACATTGATTTGGTGGGAAGTTTTGAATGGATTTATAAGGCATGGGATCGGAACTTGTGGTGTGCCCCAAGGGGTACCCAAGTTTTGTAAAGAGAGAGGTTATGGGCAAAATGGGCTTGACCCATTAGACTCAAAAATTACCACACACGCGCGCGCGCCGTCGTCGCCGTCCGTCCGGTCGGCTGGCCCTGGGGTTGGGCGTGGGTACGTGATGTATGGTTGAGTTGGGCTTGTTCGGCCCAATACTAATCTTTTTGGGCCAGAAACATTTGGATTTAATTTTATTTTTTGAAATAAAATCTGTCCAACTGTCTAGAATTCAAATTAATTCCGAAATTAATTTGTTCTAGTTTTTCTCTGCACCCAAACAGGTCCCTTCCGTTTTTATCTATTTGAATTTTAAACCCAACAGATTTAAATCTGTTTAATTCAAAACCAAACAGGTTTCATACCTGTTCAAAACAGGCTAGCACCTGTTTAATTCAAAATCAATAGCTACCACTACATCTATAAATAGGTAGCCCTCATTTGATGTTTTACATTCAGAAAATTCGTACTTCTCCTCTGCAAATTTATTCTCTTCATTTTGCTGCATTTATTTCATTATTTTTCTGTGAGAAAGAGTTCGTCCATCCTCGCTGCAATTCTTCTCTGCATTTTGCTGCATTTATTCTAGTATTTTTCTGTGTAAAAGAGTGTATACACTAAGTGTGTTCGTTGAACAAATAAATTGCAGTGCTGCATTTATTTGTTGTTGATCATTACATCCTGGGAGATAGACGTCCATATTCTGAAAGCACCGTGGAGAGGACGAATCTATCTTAAGGAGACAGTGTCGAATACTGAACTTGATCAGAATAATATTCAAGATATTAATCAAGTAAGTTATTTATTTATTTTCTGTTTTATTATTTATTTAAATCAGATTTAATTTTATTTTTGTAACAAAATAAAATCTGTTTTTATTTATTTAATTCTATTTCTAGTTTGATTTTTGTAATCAAACTTTCTCTCTCCTTTCCTATTTTTTTTTTATATTCTGTTTGTCGTTTAGTACCCAAACAAAATTAATTAATTTAATTACAGTGAAAATTGTCCAACGTTTTTTACATCTTATTATTAATATTGATTTTTTTTTATTTTTTTTTTCATTTTGTTATTTAACAGGAATTCAAGTTGAACAAGACAATGAAAGTTGTGGTTATATCAGAGTATTGGAGAAACAATGTTGTTGTGGATGTTGTTTTATAGAATTCAAGTTTTTTTTTTTTCTTTTCTTATCTTATGTTGTTTTATTGTTATAAAAGTATGTTTTTGTGGATGTTGCAAATGGTTATGCTACAGTTTGTTGTTATGTTATTGTGGATATGAAGGATCGATCTTATGAAATTATGCTTAGGGAATTATTTTGTTAAGTTTATGAGAATAGGTTGTTTTTATAGAAAAAACTTAATGTTAGTAAATGGTATTATATGAATTTGTTTTCTTCATGCAAAGGCAAATACAAGCTGCGTTCATTACAAACTTGCATAAGAGTACATTCATTCATCAACCTGCAAACTATTACATTCATTCAATAACTTCCAAACTGTTACATTCATTCTAAGGCAAGGACAATAAGTTTCCCATGACCACTGCCTTGTACAGTTGGAATGGAATCCAGGAAAATACAATAACAGAGCAAAAAAATTTCTAGCAAAAAAAAAAAAAAAAAAAAGGATCAGGGATTTTTCGGGGTCATGGAAACCCGATCCCCGTTAGGGGCAGGGGCAGGGGGTGATGGATTTTCCGCCAAGGATCGGGAATGAGAAATTTTATGGTTTTGGAGATCGAGGACGGGGAGTGTAATCCTCGACCCCGCCCCGTTGCCATTCCTATTCCTATACCATTTTTTTACAAGGTTTTCGAAAAAATTTATGTATGAAATAAAATTTACTGCAACTATTTCACTTCAAATAACGGAGGTGTTTAGGAGGTGGTTTGTGTTAAAATAACTTATTAAAAGATAAAATAAATTAAAATAATTAATAAAATAAAATATTATATTTAATTATAATAATTTTTTTTTCTCACAATTATCAAATCAATCACAAAAAAAAAAAAATCAACCAACTTCTTAAATATAACTATTTTAATCAAATTAAAATAATTAAAAAATTAAATAGCGAATTAAAAGACAAAATAGGCTATTTTAGCCACAAAAAACAAAACATCACATCCAACCCATAATTATTACACTCTTCTCTCACAAAAAAAGTCAAAAAAACCAAAAAGCCAAAAAGCCCTTCCCAAACCAAGCTTTTTAGCCCAGGCTAAAATAACCAAAAAAGTCAAAAAGCCAAAAAGCTAACCCACTTTCCAAACGGAGGCTAAATCTAACTATTTTAATCAAATTAAAATAATTAAAAAATTAAATAGCGAATTAAAATAGATAAACCTCCAAACAAGGCCAACAGCAACTCCATGGAGTTTCTCAAAAGGGTTTCAATCAACCCAACCTCCTTTTGACAAAATGACAACACGTGTCGTTGTCACATTTCTTCCAAATTTTCTCGGCACCAACTTTTGACGAGAAAACAAAAAGAAAATCAAAGCAAGAAAAGAAAGTAATCTAGATATCTGTCTTTGATTCCTTTCCTATGAAAAATCTTACACAAAATTATTACTTGTTCTAGATCCTATTGACCATTCTATCTCAAGCACGTGATGGGCACGTGCCCTGCTTGGAATAAGGGCGTGCCTCTCACGACCTATCCATGCGCGTTGTTTTAATGCTCTATTTCTTCATCATTTAAATGAGATTGAATTTTACATTTTAATAGAATCTATAATTTTGTTTTAATTAATAAACTGTATTTTTTTTTAGTTCTTGTAATCTATGAACAAAATAATTTGATTTAATTATAGTTTATTTTATCAATTATCAAAGGATATTATTTTAATTTGTTAATTTTAAAAGTATACAATTAAATTTATATACTATTAAAAAAATATAAACACCTTTATAAAAAAAAGAGTGAAAGTGAGAGAAGCAAAAGCATAATTTAAAAGTTAAGAAAAAATAATATTTAATGACAATTCCAAGTAACTTTTTTTCAATCTCTAATGATTGTCACCATTTTATGCTCCCTCTCTCAACGGCTTTATATGATTTATATTTACATTTATTTCAACTTAAAGTATTAAAGTGATCTTATTATAATTGACAAGGTCATTATCCATCATTATAATGAAAATGTGTTAGCAAAAAATAATTAGCCCACCGTCAATATTTTTGATATGTAAAATTTTAATTTTATCAATTTATAAAGTATTATTGATTCTAACAATGATTACTCTGATCAATTATGAAAATCACTTTAATGTATATTGGTAAATAAAATTATTTTAGAAATAATTTATTATCTAACGTCGTATGTTAAATATTGCATTTTTATACGGAAAAAAAAGAAAAAATTATAATTCAGTGTAATTTTTTAAAAACAATTTCATATAAGTAATCAATTTTATAAAAACTAATAATTATAATTATAATTTTTTTATTAATCTTTAATTATTTTATAAAAGATTCACAGAAAAATAATTTCCAAAAAAAAAAAACACAAAATATACTTATCAAAAGTATGATTTAGCCCTGTGACAGTCTTTCACCTTTGCTCTGTCCCTCTCCTTCTCTCTCTCTGTTTGTGATTTTTACAGCACAGGTTTTTGTCGGTGAACTTATTAGCTTCACTTCACTCAGTGCCAACAGTTGTATATCTCTTCAATTTTTTGGAATCATGTGATTCTTTCTAATTTTCTGTTTCTGGGTATGTGTTAAATTTGTGTTCTTTCACACCCAATTGTAACCCAACAGTAAAGTTTTCGGTGCATTCAAGTCTTTAATCTAACAGGTCTTCTTTTACAGCAGCAATGGCGGGTGACCCATGAACATTTTATTATCAGCTTCATGCAATTGCTATATTGAATCAGAGTGAGCACTGTAAGAGCTTAATCTCTAACAACCCACTTTCAATTTCGCTTTATTGCTTCATGGTATGTCAAAATTCTTGTTCATTCACTTTGTTTTTGCTTTGATTTTTCTTCGAGTAGTTGACATGCAATGTTTTGTAGATGAACATTTGTTGTTTTTTAATCCAATTTGTTGAAACTTTAGTTATGATCAGTGAGATTGGTTCACTTTTCAGCTTACTTTGAAGATCATTGATGGGGGTGGAGTTGGCATTTTACATTTTAGCACATGCCAGTTCATTTTTTAGTAATTTTTTCCTGATAAAATGAAGTTTTTAAGTAATTGGCAACAATTGAAGGTGATCAGCCATAGGATCATGTGAAAATCTTAATACACGAGACTCCAGATATGATCTTTGTGTTGAGAGTGCAGAGTGCAGAGTGCATTGGGATAGAATCCCGAGACATGATCTTATTGAGAGTACATTGAGATATAGAGATTTGCGGACACATATTCCGCGCTAGACATAGATGTAATCCAAATGTTTGCATCTATAGTTGTGAACAAAATGATCTCATATGTAATTGTGAACATTTTGTCTCACATGTGTGCATTCGGTGTGCGGACTTTATGTGCTCCTAAACTTTTTGCAAGGCCACTGATATGGCAAAAAAAGTTAGGTTGCTTGTTACTGTACATTCATTAACTTCTTTACTTTTCTTGATTGATAAATTCTCCATCTTAAAGTTCAATTTACAGTTATTTTTGTTAAGAACAAGGCATGTTTTTGTTATGTGGTATGTAAGCAATCCAAACTTACTGATCTTGCACCTTTAGGTGTGTATTTCTTCCGACTTCTCTCTGCATGGACTTTCAATTTTATTTTATTTTATTTATTTTTCTTGTCTTGCTTATAACACCGACCAACCAATTGGAGATTAAAATCCTTCTCAGATTTGATTGTATAAGTCTACAATCTTTCATTGTACTTTCATTTGTTTTTCTAATATTAGCTGCTAAATCTGACTGAGTCTGTTTGTGTGGTTGCCTACCTCCCCTACCCCAGTTGCCACAACCTCCCCTCACCTGCCAGAACACACGCATGCCCTTAAACCTCCCACACAGGGGCAAGGTTAAAGGCATGGCTGTAATTTAAAAATATTAACAATTCAATTTTAATTTTCTTTTAAAAATCAAATTTTGCACATGACATGTTAATTTACGTGGAAAACGCCATTTTCTCACTTTGTTATCCACCACAATGGGATTTAGTGTTAGAAAGCAAGCTTGACAGGGCACTGTGTTTTTTGACCTAGCTTCGTGGGATAAAACTGTAATTTACGCAGTATTTATCTGTATCACAAATTCCAGTGATATGGACGAAATCCTTAATGAAGCACCTAAACAAATCATCAAACAGTAACTTAGAAATTGTCTCAGTTAGGAGAGAAGTTCAAGTACCAATCAAATAACTCCGATTGCATGCATTGTCTCTCCTCTACTGTCTTCCTAAAGCAGTAATAATCAAACTATGTTTTTTTGGTTCATGTTTGTCCAAGTTTTCTTTGGAACTTGAATGTGTACATAATGTTTCTTCTTCTTGAATGCTACGTCGTTGACATGGTTCTAAAAACGTTGGCATTTCAATTTTAGTCTGCCAAATAGAGTGAAATCATGGACAACAAGACATGGCTTTGGAGGAAAAGATCATCGGAGAAGACAATTGTTGCAATTACTAAATCAGATTTCTCTTCAAAAGGAAATGAAGAAGAGGTAATGGACTGTTAGTCGGTCTCAGTGCATGTAAAAAAGAAAAATTGCCCTACTTCTTATTACATACCAGAGGCGTAGATCTGATTTGGAACATTGCTAATGTTTCAATTCATTGATTTACTAAGATAGAAATGTTTTATGTATGAATTGCAGATGCTTCCAACTGAGAAAGAAATCAGTCTGTTGAGATCATTGGAAACCTTAGACGAGAAGTTAGCATCAGTTCTCTGTGAGAGTAACGCTAAAGATGACCTTCTATCAAAACATGCAAATATGGCAGAAGAAGCCATCAAAGGTGATTACTGTTTTCTTTCTTTCTTAACATTACTTCACTCTGTGTGGTTCGGATTTATAGCATGTTGTCTTTCTGACAATCTTTTGGATCTTTGTTTTCTTCAATGGTGTATTCTCTTTTAGGCCGGGAAAAGGCAGAGGCAGCGGCAGTGTCTCTAAAACAAGAACTTGACAAAGCTTTACAGCAGAACGTAGCTTCAAATGAAAGGTTAACTCAGTTAAATGCTGCATTGAAGGAATCGATGCAGCAATCAACTTCTCTTCGAGAAGAACATGAACAAAGGATTCGTGATGCTGTTATGAAAACATCGAGAGAATTTGAGAAGTCTCAGAAAAAATTAGAGGAAAAAGTAACCCAAAAAAGTAAAAGGCTCGCAAACTTAACAGTTGAGAACACTCGCCTGAGTAAAACCCTCCTGATGAAAGAGAAACTGATTGAAGAGCTAAGTAAACGTGTGTCTCAGGCAGAAGCAGAGTTCAATACACTAATGGCCAGACTAGATTCCATAGAAAAAGAAAATGCTTTTCTCAAGTATGAGTTTCGCATGCTTGAGAACCAACTTGAGATTCGAAATGAAGAGATTGAATTTAACCGTCAATCTGCTGATGTGTCACACAAGCAACACATGGAGAGTGTAAACAAGATCAAAAAATTGGAAGTGGAATGTCAGAGATTACGAGTCCTAGTGCGGAAACGATTGCCGGGTCCCACTGCTTTGGCAAAGCTGAAGAATGAAGTTGAAAGTCAGGGAAGGAATCAGTCAGAGATGAGGAGGAAGTTAAATCCTGTAACGGGAGGTTTGATTGTCAGAGACAGCACTCTACAAAACCCTCCTGACATGCCCAATAAGAAGATCAGTTTCTTGATTGAGCGGTTGTGTGATATGGAAGAAGAAAACAAGAAACTCAAAGAAATTCTATCCAAGAGAGATGATGAACTCCATTCTTCACAAATTGTGTGCACCCAAACAGCTTCCGAATTATCAAAGGTTGAAGTTCAGCTCGGAGAACTTTCAAAACGTCAAAAATCTGTGGAGTTATCTAGATGCAGTCCTATAGCAAGAGAGCTCTTTCCAACACCAAGTTTTGGCATCAGCAATGATGAGACTAACCATTCTGAACCATGGGCTTCTGCTTTAATTTCAGAACTAGATTGTTTCAAAAATCAGAAACCCAAGAATCCACATGAACACACAACTTTTGGAGTTTCGGACATGAGCTTAATGGATGACTTTGTTGAGATGGAAAAATTAGCAATAGTCACCGTTGGTACACCACTGGGAACTTCTTGTGCTTCTCCAAATACAAGTATAGATTCAAGAGGTAAGGAACTAGTTCCAGTGCTACAACGACAGTCCAGTGACATTGAACAGGAAATCCAAACAAAAGATGTATCAACTGAAAAAGGCTACGATTGGCTTCAGAATGTTTTGAATTTGATTTTAGATCAAACCCGTACATCAAAAAGAAGTTTTGATGATCTTCTTGAGGATATTAGAATAGCTTTAACGTACATGAAGAGTTCTTGTGCTAGTGAAGTTAACAGGGAAGAAAGTTCAAAGGAGCCTGGAGGATCTTACTCGACCGCCATTAGTGGCTACATCACTTGGAAATCTCCAAATACATCACCAAGGGTGGGTCCACTCAATGGAGTTCCTCGTAGTGACACCTCGGTGGAAGAAACGAGCAGCCAACATAGACAACCTAATCTGAGTAGGTCAATACTTAAGATTATTGAGCTTATCAGAAGGATGGATCTAACATGCTCAAAGAACTGTTATGTTCCAGATAATGGTTCAGAAAGAGATCGGGTTTCAGACTACTTGATTCATGTTTTCCAATGGAGAAGTGCGGAACTGAGCACTGTTTTACAGCAATTTGTCTATACTTGTGACGATCTGTTGGATGGGAAGGCCAAGTTTGAAAACTTTGCTGCGGAATTGGCATCTGCATTGGACTGGATTATAAACCACTGCATCATCTCTCAAGATGTTTCGTGTGTGAGAGATAAAATCAATAAGCATTTGGGTTCATATAATTCACCAAACACAGGCGAACTTGATATGTTTGAAATGGAGAAGACCCAATCTGATTTGCGAGAGGAAAATAAGGGACTAAAAGACAAGTTTAAGAGTATGGAGTCCTTGTGGAAAGAGTTAGAAGCAGGGCTAAGGTCGGCAAATGATAAGAATGAATCCTTGATGAATCAACTTCGGGAATCAGAGCAAAGTATTGGACACTTGCAGTCGGAACTAAAAACTTTGAAAGAATCAAAAGGAATAATTGAAGATCAGATTGAAAATCAAAAGCTTATTAATGAAGATCTTGATACCCAACTTAATCTTGAGAACATTAAACTAAATGAGGTTCTTCAGAAGTTATCAACTCTCGAAGTAGAACTGGAAGATAAAAGCCACTGTTGTGAAGAATTAGAAGCGACATGCCTTGAGCTTCAACTCCAGATGGAAAGGTACCTACTATTTTCTTGAGCTCTTGTTTTCCGAGCATTTTAAACAAGAATTTTGCTTAATGATTTATGAAATATTTGAAACATACAGTGTTACCAACAAGGAAGCTCCAAAGGAGAGCATAGACCAGGAGGAAAGGCTACTTAAAACTGTAAGTTCCACTTCAATTGACAAAAACAACAGTATTGTCTCCACTAGTTTCTTGTAAGAAAGAGAAAAACAAAAAGAAAAAAAGAAGAGAAAAAGTGGAAGGTATGTACTCTGCAATGCTAGGGAATTTAGGTCAGTATAAATGACCACAGGCGAAATACATACACATGGTGCTCTTTATTTCACTCCACTCTACATTACAGGCCTGAATGTGATCTATTAGGGCCTCGTTTGGGCATTCACTTTTTAGTGGCCTTTTGGCTTTTTGATGAGGTGGAAAAAAGTTAATGTGTTTGGAAATGACTTTTTTTAGTTATATTGAAACTGAGAATTATGGAGATGTTTGACCTTTTTTTAAAGTGACCTGTGGCTCTCTCTCTCTCTCTCTTTGGGTGCTTTTTAGCTATTTTATCCAAAAAGCCAAGTTGCCAAATAGGGCTTAGATTGAAGGTGCATTAAATATCATGTTGTGCTTGTATATGCACAAGCATGATGGGCGGACCTGACATAGGGGTAAAGCTACCCCATGGTGACCTGGTGGTCACGGGTTCGAGTCGCGTTAACAGCCTCTCTATTTGCGAGGTAAGGCTGCGTACATCAACCCTTCCTCAGACTCCACTTAAGCGGGTGTTTCTTGGACTGATTACACCGGTATATGCACAAGCATGAGTTTTTTTTTTTTTTTATTCCTTTTCGCTCTAAAAATTTTATGGTTGGATATGTTTACTAGTATCCCAACACAAGTGACTTGAGACCAGTTACCCTTTCTCAATTGAACAAATATAACATATGTTAGTGTATTCGGATTACTAACACAGGCTTATGACTAGGAACCTTTTAAGAATTCATGTACCTAAAAATACACGTCTCTTATTTTTGACACTCAAGAACATGTTTTCTTAACTTTAATTTATGGACTTAGCATGCAAACTATAATCAAGGTTTTAAAAAGCGGCCGCAACCGTTACGTAACGCCGTTATGTAACGGTTTTGGCGGGTACCGCCACCCGTTACAGCCGCTTTTGCAGTGTGATTGAGATTCATAGGTGTGTCGGCCGTAGTAGCTGTCGTAGCGGTCGTAATGGTGCCGTAACAGCCGTAACGGCCTATTACGCACCGTTACGTAACAGTTCCAAACTGTTTCTTTCGAAAAAATACACAAAAAAATGCTGAAAATGGGGGAAGAGGGATAGAGAGAAGAGGGAAGATAAAGAGAGAAAATAGAGGAGCAAGAGAGAGAGAGAGAGAAGAGGGAAGATGAAGAACATGTTATTGATTTGTTGAAACTATAAGATCTATGCTATTCTATTATCACTAAACCATTTTGTTTGTTTGTGTCTATCTATATATTGTTTGAAAATAATAATAATAATAAGTGTGGTCATTATCTATTTGGCTTAGTTAAAATATGTATATATATATAAATATTTAGGCTCTTATTTATTCTCTTACTTTTGTCATTATTTATCTTATATATAATAGTTAGTGATTGATTTTTTGTAAAATATAAAGTCATTAATTATTAAAATAAAATGTAAAAAACTCAGTTTATAGTGATTTAAAAATATGAAACATATTGGATCATACTTAAAAATTTACAAAAATTGATCAATATTTATTTTTAACCCAATAAATATGATCATGGAAAAGAAATATGCGTATCGTTAAGTTTTTTTCAAATTGTGCAAAAAATAAAAAAATTCACGGTTCCGATTACCGCAACCGTTACACTACGGCCTTTACACCGGCAACCGCAACCGAGTCACCGCCACCATTATGGCGACCCCAACCGCTTTTCAGAACCTTGACTATAATGTACAATATAATCATGAAAATAAATAATAAACTTGTTATTTTATTAAATAAATGAAGAGACTGTTTTACAAAAATACTCCGAACCACATCTTCTAAGCCAACTTGTTGGTCTGATTTTTGCAGGGCTGGGAGATCACAACCGCTTCTGCAAAGTTGGCAGAGTGCCAAGAGACAATCCTACACCTGGGGAAACAGTTAAAGGCACTGGCTTCGCCAAGAGAAACTTCAGTTTTTAACAACGTTTCTACCACCACCACCACCGCCACTGCCATTGCCATCAACAATATGAAGAAGTTAAGCCAGCGGTCATCCCTGCGTGATCGAATGCTAGCAGACGATCTGACGTCCCCAAAGACAAGGCAAATTATTAGCACCATAGAAGCAACAAAACCGTCTTTTCTCTACTCCAACAATTTTAGTACCGTGTGTGCTCCTAGTGTCCCAGTTGCACCTCCAGAAGTTGGTTCACTAGCGATTGTACCGAGTAAGAAACGGGGAGGGGTTGGTTTTCTGAGGAAACTACTACTGAGAAAGAAGAGAGGGAGTAGCAAGAAGACATCTCGATCCTTTGCTGCATAACATATTCACAGTGAAGCAATAAAAACCATCGACATCAAGACTGACTTGCCTATGGTTTTAGATTTTGCTCATCCTTACTTGTCTATGGTTTTAGTTTTTGCTCATCCTGGCTTTTGGTTGGAAATAAGAGGTGTATGTGTCTTCAGCTTACTCTGTGAGAGAGAGAGAGTTGTATGCTGTTGCAGGTGATGCTGATGTATATACCTGTTTGTTGACACATTTGCTTATCTATAAGAGTGTTCGTAGTTTACAAAGCAATGCCATAGCATGTGTGGAGGGTGCAAATCTATAGTAATACAAGATGATGTGTATATATATATACACATGTTTTTGCATGAATAAGGCTGCATTGCACTTCAAAGACAGTAGGTCGGGCCTGGCCCGCTCAGTAGTTCGGGCATTGTGGCTGGGTTCATTGTGATAGTATATCAACCCCTTCCCCATCATTGTGATAGTATATCAACCCCTTCCCCGTCACCATCTAGTGAATGAGAGAGAGAGAGACAGAGAGAGCTTAGCTTCAAAGTCATGCTTAATCCTCTGCGCACCAAACCCTCTTCATGACAAATTCTCAAAAATCCAAATATTGATATACTATTACAACCCCTATTCCTCCAAAACTGTTTTCAGAGCTCTACGAAGCATGATTAGGACAATTTTAAAGAATAAGATACCAATATGATTATCATATGTTAGAATTTATTTATTTATAATGTTTCGTATTGTATTATATTTAAGCTCAAAGAATAGTGAAAAGTAAATCTTTAAGAGTAATTATTATATATTAGTTTAAGAGATATGTCAATATTCAATTTATTTTTTTCAATAGATGTGTCAATTAAATAAAATTTGAAAAAATAAATAAAATAAAAATATGGGATTTTTATTGATAAGTCCAATTTAGAAGTGTTTTAACCCAAGAAGTCCATGAAGGAATTTTTTAATCTATTTAGTCCCATGTATGTATAGTTTTATTCCATAAAGTCCATTTTCTTGATTTACACTATTTTCTTGGACACTTATGCCCTTATATTTAATTTTGATACCCTTATAAATATTTTTTCAACGATTAGCAATTTAATGATGTGAATATTCATATTTTAAAATTCACATTTATAGGAATGTAAATTGGCCCGTGGGCGGCCCGAAATCCGTCCGCGAGCCAGGGCGGGCCCGGCCCGTTGACAATGTGAATATTCACATTGACATGTTAAAATTCACATTAATAGGAGTACAAAATTGGCCCCTGTCCCGTGGCGGCGCGAAACCCACCCGCGGCTCATGGGCGGCCCGGGGCGGGCCTGGTCTGGCCCGTTGACAATGTGAATATTCACATTGACATGTTAACATTCACATTGATAAGAGTATAAAATTGGGCCGCGGCCCATGGGTGGCCAAAAGCCCGCTCGCAGCCCGGGGCAGGCCCGGCCCGGCCCGTTGACAATGTGAATATTCACATTGACATGTTAACATTCACATTAATAGGAGTGTAAAATTAACCCCCGTCCCGTGGCGGCGCGAAACCCGCCCGCGGCCCATGGACAGCCCGGGGCGGGCCCGGTCCGGCCAGTTGACAATGTGAATATTCACATTAACATGTTAAGCATTCCATTGGATAAGAAGTATAAAACTAGACAGCAGCCCAGGCGGGCCCGACTCGGCCTCGGGCCCGGCCCGGCCCGATGACCAAAAGTCCGCTTCGAATTTATCAGAGTGTGACATGTTAAGCATTCACATTGAGATAGGCAGTGATAAATTGAGAGCATCCCGCGTTCTGCGACGTGGCGAAGCTCAAGTCGAAGAGCGCTTGCCGCACCGTGCTCGTGGGTGATGTCTTCAACCCCCCCACTTAGGTCCTGGTCCCTCGGGGAGGGCCTCCTGTCCCGGCCCGTCTAATATGTTGTAATATTCATCAATTTGATTATGTTAACACATTCCACATTGATAAGCAGAATCAAAATTGGCCGCGTCATGGCACGGCCAAAGCCCACCTGGCTGCCGACTGATGCGCGCACTTAGCGGCGCCGGCCCGACGCCGGTTGACGATATGTAAAAGTATTCACATTGACGATTGTTAACGATTTCCATATATGTGATAACGCTGTAGTATAGAAATTGGCCTGAGCCCGTGGTGTCTCTACCCATAGAAGCCCGACCACAATTGGAGCAGATCACGAGGTCGCTTCGGACCCGAACCTCGTGACAATGTGAAGATTCCACATTAGACGATGTTAACATGCATCATTGATTAGGAAAGTAAATTAGCAAATGCGCGCTCGTGGCTGTTCCGAACCCGTCCACATTTGGCACGCGAGTGGACGGCCCGGCTGGCATGATCATTGCGGGCCCAGCCACAGGCCTGTTGACAATGTGAAATATTCACTTGACATGTTTTATACATATCACATGTGAGATAAGGCAGTGTTGAACAATTGGCCCGTAATCCCGTGGGCAGCCCGAGAGCCGCAGAGGCCCCTTCGGGCCAACGGCTGGCCCCAGCCCGTTTGCATGTAAGATATTCATATTAACATGTTAACATTCACTTGATAGGGTGCAAGTGTAAAATTGGCCCTCGCAGCCCCGGTGGATGGCCCGAACCGATGCGTAGCCCGAGGCGGGCTTTTGGCCCGACCCGGTGACAATGGTGAATATTCACATTGACTATGTTAACATTAAAGATTGATAGGGGTATAGTAAGTATAATCAGTCACGCGTACCAGACTATATTATCATTGTTAATATCTTATTTGAATATGAGTTTACTGTGCAGGTTAATTGCTTCATATGCCATATTCACAGTAGCCGAGTCTATTAATTGCATTGCTTTGCATAACGTTGCAATTAGACGCCTAACCATAGTTAAGATCATGCATCTCTTATCTAACTAGGTTTTTTGTTTTGGCTTGGAGTACTCGTTATGGGTTTTGCTATGCCTTTAGCATACTTGCACGAGTGTGATTACCATGAAATGCCATACATAGCATATTGCTTGACCGATGAGGTCCTATGTGCTTAAGAGTGTAAATTGCTTGAATGCCTGTGGATGAAGGCTTATTGTTTGAATTGGAAATAGATTGCACAGACAATATATAAGTTTTTAAGCCCATACTTTGTTGAGGTGGCAAAAAAGTGCCACTAGTGTTTTTGGTGGGCAAATCCGGCAGAATTGTCGAGGCCACTTTGAGGCGGCAATTTCAAAACCATTTTCGCGAGAGAGAGAGAGTTTGAAAGGCTCTCCAAATTGAGCGCAACTAGTCTATACGATTTGTGGTCGCAATCACAGTAGTAAAGCGTAATAACCGAAAGACAAGAACACATAATATTTATAAAAATCATATCATGGATTAGAGAAGGCTGATCTTTTATCAGGCGAGCGGGAGTGCTCAATTCCCAGGACCTTCCTCATCTCATTAACCCAAGTTCCCGTAGCCAAGGAAACTTGTGATGACGGACACGTGGCCTTTGGCACGAGTTAGGGTTTCCAAATTTCCCCAAACAAAATTATTTAGGTCGGCGACTCTGTATTTGCAAAGCAGTCCAATTTTGTCATTATTTGATTTAAAATCGATGTTTTCAAAGATTTGCCAGATTTGAACTCTTTGGTGTTTATTAAGTTTCAATTCATTGCACTTGTGAGACTAGATTCAGAACCGCGGTAGTTCGACGAGAAGCTCGGGACTGTGAAGGCTTCACTCTTCAAGCCTTCGACCACGCGAATAGCGAACCACGGGGAGCGAGGCGCCCAGCTTCCTCTGCACTCACCTGCTACAGGCCGGCGAGCACATTTAGAGGAGGATCTCTGACTGGCGAACCATCATGATATGTTGTTTATCTTCACTTATGTGTTTTTTGCATTTGCATTTGGTTCATCGGTACGCCTAAGTCCACAGTGTTTTGCCATCTACTATTCCTGAGCGGATAGTTATCGTGAGGTCAACGAGAGAGTTCTTACACCTAAGACAACATGTTCATGCAGAGTGCTCGATAATAGTAGAATTGACCGAGAGATGTGTAATGCACTGAGGAACTTCTCGAGTCGAAACTAGGGACACCCGAGAGTTGACTCGGGCTCGCCGGCATTGCCTAACCGCTGGTATCTGGCCCCAGTTTGATACAGTCTGCCGTCGAGCGTTCTCAGTCGGGTGTTAGTGTGTCGGCGCAAGCCAGCGACTGAGGTCAATAAGGTAGGTCCGGCTATATCGTGAGGTACCTCTTCACTTTGTCAATAGAGTTCAAATTTAACTGACGGAGATGGAATATTCAGGTTGTACTATAATCTGGAAGAGGCGCACTGTGAGCGGACTTCAAGCGCCTCGAAGTACAGTCTGCAGTTACGCTGCCCGCATCTAGTCAGGGAGATTTGCACATGAAAGGCGCATATATTGTTGTTTGTATTATGACTAGGCACTCTCTTCATGACTTTGTGCTGATCGAAAAATTATGGACAAGTGTAACACCTTACCGTGAAGCTGACATCATTCAAAGGAGGTGATCTCTGCACGCTCTGGGCTCGGGTTCCTTGGTCTCTTGGGATATGAGCGTGGCCGGGCTTTTGGTCTAGGCACGCTCAACAACCAGGTGCCTACGAGCGCTAATTTTACGCTATACTCGCTCTCGTCTTATCGAATTGTTGAATTGGCTTAAATAATGGTTAACTAGTGAGATAATTCATATGTTCATTTGGAGGTGAGGGTGAAATCCAGATCTGGGTGTCTTTAGCGCTCCGAGGCCGCCACCATTTGCGTCCAGCTTATGATTGCAACTACGTGTATTTGTGTCGCTGAGGCCGAGGTAATGACGTGAGTCAATTTTACACTCTTATCATGTGAATGTTAATATGTCAATGTGAATATTCACATTGCACAGGCCGGGTCGGGCCCAGCCCCGGGCCGCCCATGGCTCGTGGTAGTTTCGGGGCAGCCAACGGGACGCGGGCTTAAAAATTTTATACTCTTATCAATGAATGTTAACAATGTCAATGTGTAATATTTGCATTATAATACGGGTCGGGTCGGGCCCGCCTAGGGCAGCCCACGAGCATGGCAGGCGGGTTTCGGCCGGCTCCACAGACCGCGGGCTAATTTACAACATCCTATCATGTGAATGTTAACAATGTCAATGTGAATATTCACATGTCAACGGGCCGGGTCGGGCCCGCCCGACTGGGCCTGGCTTCGGACTGCCACCGGATCATGGGCCAATTTACACTTTGTTTAATGTTAATGGTAATGTTAATATGTTAATGTTAATGTTAATGTTAAATATGTCAAGTGAATATTCATATTGGTGAATCGGGCCGGCCCGGGCCCGCTCCCCGGGCGACGCGGGCTGGGTTTGCGGCCGCCCACAGGCCGAGGCCAATTTACACTCCTATCAATGTGAATGTTAACTTGTCAATGTGAATATTCATATTATCAACGGGCCGGGTCGGGCCTATTTTTTTAGCTTGTGGGCCGGCCCGGCCCGACTCGAATTTTTCCCGGCACCCACGAGGATCGACATGAGCCAAGCCCCTACACATTGACGATATAAACATTTATATTGACGGTGTGAACATTCACATTAAGGGTATTTTGGTAATTATGTCACCCATAGGACTTATTGAAACATAAGAAAATAATGTGAACTAAATGGAACATGGGTAGATGAAAAGGGTATTTTGGTCTTCTTATCTCAAATTGGACCTAATGGAATAGTCAAAAAGAATATGGGTTGGATGGAATAAAACTCTTAAAAAATGGATTTATCAAAAAAGCTCCCTAAAAATAAAATATTACTTAATGATATTATCTTTTTCTTTGGTTAAAAACTCATAAATTTACTCATAATATAAAATCTTATTCATTCATAGAGTGAGCTCACAACAAGAAAATTAATTCTAAATCATCAATCTAAAATTTTTGAACAATTTTGGGTTTTTTTCTTGATTCATAGAACATTTTTTTTTTCTCGAGAAACTTGATTCATGGACTTGATTCATGGACTTACTGAACAGAGAATATTGAAAAAGTATTCTTCTATTTATTCTAACAATTATAGTCTAATAATATGCAAAAATTATTACAATTTCAATTTCGCAATATTTTGGATAAGCTAACCTAGCGTGTCGAAAACTATCCAATACATCTCAAAATTAACATCAAGTATTGGATGCATTTAAAAAATATACATATTCTCCGAGTATCTGAAAAGTGTCCGTAGAAGTAAGTGTGGTTCACAGTCAGGTGTTATGGATTCGGCGCTTGTCATCCTCTCGAGAAACCAATTCCACGAGTGGTACTACATATCCCGTGAATTATGCCTACGGACCAGCTCAGGAAATGCGATAGGGATCTACCCTGCCTGCCTTACTGTTCACAAATTAATGCGCTTACAAGGTGCTTGGTGTAGAACTCGCATCCCTAATGAGTCGGTACGTGACAGTGACACAGGACTCAATTCAAGTTCCTGACTAGCTTCTATCTTTGGTTCTACTACATTTTTTTTGTACAAATTTGGAGGTAGTCTAAATTTAACTCTCTTCTTTGATGTAAAGCGAATCATCTTCTTCAAAACAGATCGATTCCAAAGGTAAAATTTATCCAACATGCACGATGACTTAGTTCATGATTTCGATGCAGCAGCCTTCTCAGCAGCTTGCTTCATATCGAGGAGGGCATCTTCAAAACACTTGGCTACAACTTCAGGATCAGGTATAATGTCTTTGGCTACCATGATTTGCATGTCAGCTCTTCCTGCATAACTCATCATGTGCATTGTGATTGCCTGCATATTACCCCCAACAACAAAAATGATATTCAAAATTCCCATTATTCACTCAAATTCTTATTAGAGTACTGCTGCTATTTGTCCCCCACCAAATTGCTTTGGACCCATTTATTTATTTTTAAAAACAATTTTACTTCATCACAAAATTCCAATTTATATCTCCATCTCTACCTCTCCAAATCTTAATCCTAACTCTATCCCTATCCCCACCCCCCACCAGCTCCAACCACCGCTCTCTTCCACCCATCCCCAAACTCCGGCAACCCTCCGTGCCCATCCCCCGGCTTCTACAACCCTCCCCTGCCTATCTCCAACCCCTCCCCACCCTTGCCTGCCCCTTCCTAACCCATTCCCACCACCGCACTACTGAGGTCTACTGCGAGCCCCCCTCTCTCAGAGGTGAGGCTGCTGGAGTGTGAGGGGGCTGCAGGGGGTGGGGTGTTGCAGTGGGGGAGGCAGGTTGCAGTCGGAGCGATGACCAGAGGTGAAGGTGGGGCTGGGTTAGGGTTTAAGGAATGAGGGTAGAATTGGTAATAAGGTGAGAGTCCAAAGAAAAAAAAAAAATCAAAATTTGCTGGTCGGAGTCCAAAAACAATTAGTGTAGCCTGTAGGCAAATAGCAACACTCATTCTTCTGCCATTGACTGTTTTAATGCTTGTTTTAACAGAAGTTCTATATATTTGGATCATGGATTTAGGTAGATATTTGGAAAAAAAAATAAAATAATTTGAATGAAATACAAGTTAAATTTTTTTGCCCCCCCCCCCCAATTTCTCTCACGTTTCCCTTTCTTTTTCCAAATATCTACCCAAATTAATGATCTGACAATATCCAGAATGATTTGCAAAGGGAAATGAGAGATTAAGAAGCTGTACATGGGGAAGGCTAGTGTTGGTCACCCTCATGTAAGTTACAGGATTGCCCACCACAGTAATCTCCTCTCGTGGGCCAATCACATTCGAGATTGTAAAGGTTGTGTTACATACAATCCTGTAATTAAGCCAGCTCGCAAGCTATGAAACAAAAACAAGAGCCTTATTAACATATGACAAAAGAAAACAAAAATTAAAAGGACTCTTCTCTAATATGAAATGCACCTTTGCTCCGAAACAGGACATCACAAAATTCCCTATTTTGTATGAGAAGTGAGCCTCTAAAGATAGTTTTTTCCGGTCAATCATTGCCTTAGATCTTTCTACATATTGTAGAGGATCAGCGCCGCCTTGATGATAATAAATAGGTAAGAGCATCATACCGAATTTGTTACCCCACTGTACACTAGAATTGCCGTCCATCAATTTGGAGAGATCCTGATCAACAACGCCAGTTGTTTCAATTCAAGCCGAAATATTTAATTTATTTGATGATGCATTTTTAAACTATCACACAGAAACCGAGGAAAGAGAAATAAATTGACCTGTAATCCTGGTTGTTTCCTCAAATTAACCATGGCTAAGCCGGTCAATTGAAGCCCATCTTGCAAAGCTAGGTGAGGCAATTGAACTCAATTTAATTAAGGTGTGACCAAACTTACTAAAATTTGATTAATTTGGCTGAAAAATGCTAGTGGACATCAAAATAAATTTTACCTTTTGGTGATCGGATATCCAAATATCTTGATAGCCCAGATGAAATAACCCCGAAAAGCACATCATTAATGGTCTGCATTGGTTCTAGAATAGAATAGTATGCAGCAAATGGACAGAGTGTTTGGAAAGCTATAATTAGCATGTTTATAACTCTTAAATTCATAGTAACTAACACTGATAATGTATTAGTGTGAAACGAAATATTTGGGCATAAAAAAGGAAAATTCATAGTAACACTGATAACCCTACCCTTAGGGGGGTCACTAGATGGTTGGTAGTCTCACTTTTCCACACAAAAAAAAGAAGGGAAATATTTTTCTAGATGACTGCTGTGAATCGGATCTTTTGGCATAAGTTTTTGGTTTCAAAACCCAAAAGTTTCAAACCGATAACTTCCTAGGGAGAAACTCTCTTTTTTTGATTTTGAGGTTAGAAAAATGTTTGGGAACCCTAATTCTGTGGCTCAAATAGCCAAAACGACGTCGTTTTGGCCATTTCGATGTTGTTTTGTACTCAAAACGACGTCGTTTTGGCCATTTGAGCAACAGAATTTGGGCCCTCTACCATTGCTCTTTGAGGTTATGCACCACATCACCAAACATTTTCAATTGACTCAACAAAACAAATCCCAACATAGGAATGCAGCCATACTATGTGTTTGTTTGGACGGACTCGATAAGGAGAGATTGTAATCTATCAGACTGTTAGTCTCGGGATATATTGTCCCCGGACTATTTGGTTGGATTGGATTTGTATCCTATGCTTGTTTAGTCATGGGATTAGATGTCTGAATTTGACTATTTTTAGTAAATCAAATGTTTGTTTAGACGGATTGGATAAGGATAAATGTTCAAAAAAGACTATTTTACCCTCGTAATTTATAATTTTATTTAATATATAATTTTAAATTTGTAATCTATAATTTATAATTTAACAACACTAAAAAAATTTAATTTATAAGGCCATAATTTTTAATTTATTATTTTCAATTAAATTAAATTTATAATTTATAATTTATATTTTTTATTTAATATATAATTTTAAATTAACAACACAAAAAATAATTTTGTTTAATATGTAAATTTAATTTTTTAACAACACTAAAAAAATTTAATTTATAAGACCATAATTTTTAATTTATTATTTTTAATTAAATTTAATTTATAATTTAAATTTTTTATTTAATATATAATTTTAAATTAACAACACTAAAAAAATAATTTATAAATGTTCAAAAGATTATTTTACTCTTTTCTAATTGTTTACTAAGCAATAACATAGGGGTAAAATAGCCATTTCAGAGCCTAATTCTCATGGGATATCAATCCCATAGAAATAATCCCACCCCTCCATGGGATAGGATAATCCCACAAATATGAGACTAATAGTCTGGAAGGACTATTAGTCCGGAGCAAAAAAATTGAAACAAACAATACCCTAATGCTTCAAAACAAACGCCAGAGGATTGACAGCCCATAGGTAGAAGCCTTGGTTATTTATGTCACTAAAAAGACTCAACTAATTTACTTATAATAACATGAAAAATGACTTGCACCCCACTTTTGAAGACCCCCAACTGAGGTGGCAGCACGCGATTGATTGAATTTTTATTTTTTTTTCCTTGGTCCACAGCCTCCCACGTGGAGTGGGGGTGCTGGGGTCACCCCCAACTGGGAGTCCCCAGCACGGCTCATAATAACACAACACGGCTCATAATAACACAACACGTTAGGTGTCAACTTTTTAATTTATCACAAATTCAATCATGTAAAACTCAATTCTCCTGTCATGTCAGTGTAGAGGGAATCGTGAGTGTCTAACATTCCTCTTTATAATGGCATTTTTCTCAATTAGGATTTCTAAATTACTTTTCAAATCCAATAGGGGCAGATTTTAGTTGTAGGACAATAAAGAAAGAAATTAAAATGAAATGCAGTTTCATTGTGAGAAATGGGGCCCAAAGCGCGACATCCTTCACAAAACAAATAACTCTACACCAGCTACTTTCAAATATCAATTTAGGTCAAGTTTGACAAGTTGAAAAAAAATTAAAAAGTCAAAAAATTATTCAAAAAGTTAAAAAGTTATCACTATTCACTAAAAGTTAAAAATTACGACTGCACAACTCTCAATCTTAATTTTTTCCTACACATTAATTTATACAATTTTTTAATACATTTTTTTTCATAAAAAGTCAAAAAATTAACCCAAACATCTATATTTTTTTCCTCAATTTTTTAGTCTAAAAAATAAAAATACACTTATTTAAGACATCCCAAACAACGCTTTAATGGTGGGGTTGGAGGCAATAGCTAGCAGTTAAGAGTACTCTCAACTCTAAAACATTTAAAACTCTTACAATCTTTCCCTCTTATGCATAGTTTATCAATTTTTTAAACACCCTTATTTATTTTGTTTTAAGTGAGTATTTTACTCCAAGCTCCTTATGACCAGCACCATCTTTTTTGATCGCCAAACAAATAAATTTATTTAAAAAGTGAGCAAATACAAGAAGAGGGGAACAAGAAATCCACTGAAATCAAGTGAAAAGAAAAAAAATATGAATCTATACAAACTACAAATAGCACTCCAATCTATAAAATAATAATAATAATAATGGAAACCCTTTAAAAGGAAGGGCCTCAAAACCAGAAATCAAATAACTTTTTTTAATGAATAAAGAAATCAAAAACATGAATCTACTTTTTAACTTTTTTTTAATGACTAAATTTTTGGCTAGAAATGATTTAAATGACTTTTTTTATATAAATAATTTTTTAATTAATAAATTAATTTTTATCCGCAGTCAACTAGAAAAAAAAAATTTATGGGTGGGCCAGACCAATAAATAATAAAAAATATTATGAACCTAACTTAATTTTTAAAGTTGTGTCAAATCTAAGAAAAATTATTTAAAATTATATGATTAAAATTGAATTTGTGTAATGTAAAATTTATATATAAAATAAATATAAATCATAAAATAATAATTTTAAATAATTTTTAAGTAATTAAGTATGAATTTATAGCATTTCTAATAAATAATTGAATCTTCTGACTCACATGAAAGGTTGACATTAATATTTTTTTCATGTTGGTCTATTTTGGGGGAGTAGAAAAAAATTAATTTTTTATTTTTTATTTTTTTGAAAAATATAAAAAAAAAAGTAAAATAAGCCAGTATTTTTCGTAATTACCAAACTAGGCCTTTGTATTAACATAATTAACAGTTAACAAACTTACCGCGTCAGCCACAGCATTTTTCACCGCTTTCATATCGTCCAGCAAAAACTTGGCCGTGGCAAGCTTCCTCGGCCAGAGCTCCACCCCCGCACCGCCGCTCACGGCGGTCCTCCTATCTCTCACCCACAAACTCCTCATCACAAATTCCACCACAAACACCACCGTCAACCACACCGCCTTCACACCCCTCTCCACCACTCTATTCCACCTCCTCTCCCTCTCTCCCCTCTCCTTCGAAGCCCCCACAGACTCAATCGTCGGCCTCCGATCCGGATCATCGGCTCTCCGACAACACGCCAAAAGCATCGACATGAGAGAAATCCCATCTCCCAAAGCGTGATGGATTCGAAACAAAATACAGTTATAGGGTCTCAACAAGTGTACCTCCCAGAGAGGTTTGTCGGTGTTGAGAGGCGACGAGACTGCCAGATCTGAGACGTAGTCATTCAGGGACTCTTCGTCGTGGGCTGAGGAGTCTCCGATGGGTTCGTCGATGATGATGATGTGGCGGTCAATGTCGATATGGGTTTTTCTCCAGTGTTCGCGGCCGTGGCCGTCTCGGACCATGAGGCTTGAGAAAAAAATAATTTTGTAACGAAAATCGGAATATACGATCTAAAAAAATCATATCGTTTTGTACACTACAAATTCGTCAATTCTGATTAACGAATTACAACAACAACAAAAAAAAAAAATCAAATCAAATCAAATGCCACCAAGCTCATCTCTATCTTCTTCGGGTTTAGCCATTGCAGAGAGAGAGAGAGAGAGAGAGAGAGAGAGCGAGAACCCAGCAATCTGTGTAGAAATTGCACAGAGCGTTAAAAAGTCAGCTGGTTCATCTTCACTGCACCTGCCATGCTCCTGCAGCTTTATTTATTTATTATTATTTTTTTTATAGCGATTAATGCTATGCTGGTTAAACTACTCATCCCGTGTGGAACACATGAATTTCACGAACGGCACTGTTTGGGAAGAAGAATATGAGTTTTTTTTTTTATTTTTAAGTCACAAAATATAGAATAAGTTATTTTAATCACAAAAGATAAAATATCACATTTAATTTAAAATTATTACATTTTTTTCTCACAACAAAAATTAAAAAAACTAAAAAATCAAGAATATTTTTCAAATCAAATTTTTTAATCCAAGTTAAAATAATAAAAAAAAAAATCAAAAAATTAAAAATCTCACACACTTTCCAAGCCAACCCTTAACAACTTCATCTCTGATGGCAGGTCGTGCAACCACTTGGGACAAGGATAATTAGCCATAATTATGTTGTTAAAACTCTTATTAAATATTTTATATGCATGCGGGATTTATATTATATAAAATATTTGATAAAAATTTTAATACAAATTTTAAGTTGCGGAACATTACTCTTTATGATGAAACAAATACTTGTGCGGAAGGATTTTTTGTCTATTTTTTTTTCCTTATATTTTAGCACAGATATTTGATGATGTTAGGAGTTGTTTAGCCAGATTGGTTTACCACAAAAATAAATAAATAGAGAGTTAAATGCTATGCTATGATGTGCTTCTTTTTTTTTTCTTTTTTTTTTGAACGAAATGCTATGCTATGCTTGATATGGGTAAGCCCATAAAGATGATAGCCCACTACTTAGGGCCTAATACATATCTCAAATACTAAAGTTCAACACTCACGTAGCAATAAGAACCAATGACACCAAGACACATGGCAAGAGAAGGGCAAGCCACATCAGCAAACAAAGATTTGCAAAGTTATTGCAAATAAATAGAGAGTTAAATGCTATGCTATGCTATGCTGTGCTTTTTTTTTTTCTTTTTTTTTTTTGAACGAAATGCTATGCTATGCTTGATATGGGTAAGCCCATAAAGATGATAGCCCACTACTTAGGGCCTAATACATATCTCAAATACTAAAGTTCAACACTCACGTAGCAATAAGAATCAATGACACCAAGACACATGGCAAGAGAAGGGCAAGCCACATCAGCAAACAAAGATCTGCAAAGTTATTGCCATTGCACATCACCATTAATGAAACCCCTTACAGCATTTATTGCGACAAGCCCTCTCCGTCGGGACAGAACGCCTTCACCATGAACAAGGTAAGCTAGAGCATAGACTTTCGGCCAAGGTGATATATCGGAAGTGACAACGAAATGATTACCAGAGAATATAAGCAGACGTCGAAGACAGAAAGAAGGTTAAGCTTTTCTATCTCTACACCATCTTTGCACTCCACTTCTCTCTCTAACTTGCTTGTCGAAGGGTTCGCTGGGGGACTCCCCGTTCCCCGTTGAACTCTTGTGCAGGCCTTCAGGTGGGCTTGGTCATTCGGACATAGGCTTGAGGAGCGTGGATCAGTCCGACCCGTCCAAGTCATTTGTAGTGTCATCAGTTGGCGTCGTCTGTGGGAAGCTCTTACTTCGCGTGCTAGTTGTGCTCATTGTCGCCGAAGGCCCTTCCCCAATAACCCCTTTCCTACCATCTACCAAGGTGTATGGTCATGACTAGATCCATGGCTTCTCACCCTAATGTTCTAGATCATCAAGTCGACCCCTCTTATCCAAATAACCCACCGCCATATTTCACCGAGCTCACCAACAGCATTAACCGCTTGGCCGAGCAAAACCAAGCCCTGATTAATGCTCTTCTCCAAAGAAACCTTTCTATGCCTCCTCCACCACTTTCAGAAATTCCCCCTAACCAAGAACGAGCCCCGAGCCACACTATCCTGCAACCTAATCCACCCAACTTGGAAGGCTTATAACCCATTCCCCCAGGTATAAAATTGCCACCTCGGGGCCCATAGTCATCAATCCCCGCACTGATCCCTGAAGGAGAGGCCAGCAGCGTCCAGCCCCCGCTGCCCTCCAGTGGTGACAACATCCCTCTCTGGGACGTAGAACTCCAATAACCCCTTTCCTACCATCTACCAAGGTGTATGGTCATGACTAGATCCATGGCTTCTCACCCTAATGTTCTAGATCATCAAGTCGACCCCTCTTATCCAAATAACCCACCGCCATATTTCACCGAGCTCACCAACAGCATTAACCGCTTGGCCGAGCAAAACCAAGCCCTGATTAATGCTCTTCTCTAAAGAAACTTTCCTATGCCTCCTCCACCACCTCCAGATATTCCTCCTAACCAAGAACGAGCCCCGAGCCACACTATCCTGCAACCTAATCCACCCAACTTGGAAGGTTTATAACCCATTCCCCCAGGTATAAACTTGCCACCTCAGGGCCCACAGTCATCAATCCCCGCACAGATCCCTGAAGGAGAGGCCAGCAGCGTCCAGCCCCCGCTGCCCTCCAGTGGTGACAACATCCCTTTCTGGGACGCAGAACTCCGAGCCATGAAGCTCCAACTCCAAAGGGTCATGCAAAACATACAGCATAAACCATCTACCACAGCCAACTCCCCATTCGTTGCTTCCATCAGGGACAAACCTCTACCCCCCAAGTTCAAAATGCCTACAATCGACTCTTTTGACGGTACGACGGACCCAGTCGACCACTTGGAGACCTACAGAAACCTTATGATCCTCCATGCATTCCCTGACGAGATTATGTGTCGGGCATTCCCCGTGACACTCAAGGGGTCAGCTCGACTTTGGTTTAGCCAGCTGCCGGCGAACTCTGTCTCCACCTTCCAGTACCTCAGTGACTCCTTCCTCAGCCATTTTATTGGAGCTCAACGCCAGCGACATCCAGCAACCCAACTCCTCAACATCCGTCAGACCGAGGGGGAGTCGCTGTGCAGTTTCGTTACCCGCTTCAACACTGAAGCCTTGCAAGTAGCGAAAAACGATGACAAAGTCATCCTTACAGCTTTCATGGCCGGTCTGCGGTCATCTGACTTCCTCTTCTCCCTCTCAAAAAACCCCCCGACCTCCATGGCAGCCCTACTATCCAAAGCCCAAAAGTACATGAACGCCGAAGATTCCCTAGCCGCTCGCCAAGACCCTGCAGCCAAAAACGCCACCACCAGGGAGAAGAGAAAGGATTCAGACACCAGAAACACCCAATATAGTAACCGCACACCTTATTATATCGACCGACCCCCCCGAGCCGACCGGTCGACACCAGCTCGACCACCCGGCCGGTTCGAGCGGTACACACCCCTCAATTCACCCATGGAACAAGTCCTCAATCAGATCCAGCGTGACTACCCCCTAAAATGGCCCCAACCATCACGGACTCTTTCCAATCAGAGAGATCAATCCAAATATTGTCATTTTCACCAGGACCACGACCATAACACCGAAGAATGTGTTAACCTTAAAGATCAGGTCGAGGGCTAGATTCGTCAGGGTCGTCTCAGTCGATTCACGGAAACTCGCCCTCAGCAGAGACAACGGATTGAACCCATTAGAAACAACCACCGGCACACTCCTCCCTGACAACCAGCACAACCTAACCAAGGTCATGATCACCCTCCACAGCAACCTCGGGCACAAGGTAACCCCGCCCTACCTGTTGGAGAAATCAGAGTTATTTCCGGCGGGCTTGCTTGTGGAGGACCATCCGGCTTGGCCCAGCGGGCAGAACTCAGAAAAATAAGGCAGGGCTCAGACAAAGAAGTTGTCACATTAGACCGACCATCCAAATAGCCCAGGCAGTGGATCGAGCCTATCACCTTCACGGACGCCGACTGCACAGGCATTCGTTACCCCCATGACGACCCCCTCGTCATTTCGGCCCTCCTCTCCAACTACAAAGTCAGACGGGTTCTCGTAGATAACAGCAGCTCTTCAGACATCATCTTCCTCAATTGCTTCCGCCAACTCAAGATCGGGGAAGAAAGTTTGTCCCCTCTCCAAACCGCTTTGGTCGGTTTCACTGGTGATCGTGTGACCTCCATCGGCTCCATCGATCTCCCCATCACAATTGACGAGTACTCGCGGCAAATCACCAAGTTGCTTACCTTCCTTGTTGCCGACTGTCCCTCTGCCTACAATATCATCCTCGGCCGCACCGCCCTAAATGCTTTACAAGCTATCACATTAACTTACCACCTTGCCATCAAGTTCCCCACCGATCTGGGGGTCGGGACACTGAGGGGAAAGCAGACCGTGGCTAGAGAATATTATGTCGCCTCACTCAAAGAAGTCAAGCTAAAGGAGGCTATGATCATTGAGGGACTTGATGTCAGAGACGAAGATGAGCTGGTTAGAGGGGAACTAGTGGAAGAACTTATCGAGGTCTCTATCAATCCCACCAACCCAGCAAAAACTGCCAAGATCAGCAGCCAACTATCCATCTAAGCAAAGGCCGACCTCACCGCCCTCCTGATCAAACACAACAATGTATTTGCATAGACCCGCTTAGATATGCTGGGTATTGACCTCTTCTTCATAACTCATCGCCTCAGCATTGAGCCCCACTTCCGACCCTTTCGCCAGAAGCAGCGCATCTTTCATCTGGAGCGCAATACTCTCATTGCTGCAGAGATCGATAAGCTCCTTGAGGCACAATTCATCAAGAACGTGGACTACCCTAGATGGTTGTCAAACGAAACTTCTGAACAAGCACATTATGCAACATCACCAAGCGCTCAATCGGTGACGTCTGAGT